AGGCCGTGAAATTTTGTTTCCTGCTCAGGAAAAATGCTACATAAATTATTATGATGTTGAACACAGTTTACAAAACAGTGCTATGGAAAAAACCCAGGTGTATGAGTGTTTTTCTTGTTTCCAAAAAGGTGAAATGTCCATTGATAATAAACCTCATTCTGGACATCCATAAACTTCACAAACAGACAAAAGTGTCAACTTGTAATGCATTTGGGGTTCCTCCCACCAGGTCAAACTGTTAATCATGTTTTCTATTTAGAGGTTCTGAAAAGATTGCTTAACAGTGTGTACCTAAAAAGGTCTTATTTGTGTCAGACAGGGGGCTGGTTTTACCACCACGACAATACACCTGTTCATGCAGTCATCTCAGTGAGCCAGATTTTGCTTTGTGTATTAGCAATGAGCAAGTGGAAAAGGAAATTAGGCAAATAGTAGTGTTTAAAAGAATAAAAAACCTAGGAATAAATCTAAACAGGAAGGAAAAATTTTATGCAAAAATATAAAATATTACAAAAAGAAATTAAAGAAGGCCTAAACAAATGGAAGGATATTCGATGTTGATAGACCTCAAGGTTTAATATAGTTAAGATGTTAATACTACCTAAATCAATTTGTAAATTTCATGTAATCCCCCACAAAGTTTCAACAACACTCTTTACAGAAATGGAAAGGCCACTTTTCAAATTCGTGTGGAAGGGCAAGAGCCCTTTAATAGATAAAGCAATCTTGAAAAAGAAGAATAAAGTAGAAGACCTCACACTTCCCAATTTCAAAATAAACTATAAAGATACAGCCACCAAATTTGTCTGGTACTTATAATAACAAACACATAGACCAGAAAAACCATACAATTATGACTAACCATTTCCCACAAGGGTGCTAAATTTATTCACTAGGGAAGGAAGCGTCTATTATGAAATAGTACTAGTAAACCTGGATTTCTACATTCAGAAGAATGAATCAATATCCTTGCTTCACACCATACACCTATTCAAAATGCAATAAGACCTTAAATATGAAAACTACAACCCTAAAATTCTTAGAAGAATATACAGGAACCAGCTTCAGGACCTAGCTTTTAAAAATAATCTGACATGACGAAAAAGGCACAAATAGAAAAACACGAAGTAGATAAATGAGATCTAACAAAAATTAAATACTTTTTTTCATCAACGACTTTATAACAAAGTGAAAAGAGAGCCTATAGGTCAGGAGAAATTTTTTAGGAATCATATAGTTGATAAGGGCATAATATCCAAAACATATTTTAAAAACCTCTATAAATTAACAGAAAGGCAAATATTCTAATCACAAAATGGGCAAAGGACATGAATAGACATTTTATCCAATAGTATATTCAAATGGTTAATAAAAATATGAGAAGATACTCAATTACATGAGCCATTAGGGAGGTGCAAAATCAAAATCACAATGAGATACTACTCCATGACAATTAGAGTAGCAAATATATATATCTATATATGTTTTTTTAGAGTAGCAAATATATTTTAAATGAAGAAAATGATAGGTTTTCACAAACGTATAGAAAGATCGGAGCCCTCATCCATTGTTGGTGGTACAGGTATTCTGGGAAAAGTTTGATACATCTTCATAAAATTCAACATAGATCTACAATCTGTTCTGGCAAGCCTAAGTATACACCCAGAAATGCAAGCAGGAATGCCAACCGAAACCTCTACACCAATGTTTATTTTGGCACTTTTTGCAATAGACAAAATGTAGAAAAAATGTAAACAGACTGTGTTACATACATACAATATTACTAATCCACCACATGGCTGAGCCTTGAAAGCATTATGTTGACGTTATGTTTTTGCTTAAGTGGCATTGCCTTTATGTTTATGGTGATGAAATGATTTGGAAAGTAAATATCACACCTTGAAGAATGTCACCGATGTCACTGAATTGTACATGTACATACTGTTGAATTGGAAAATACTTTGTTGGGTAGATTTTCACCACAAAGAAAAGACAAACTTTTAAAAAGAGGACACTCTTTAGAGTCACACTACTTTATTTTAAATGTTGACTTGCTACTGAAGAGTTTTTCTACCTTGGTCTAGTTCCTTCCCCTTACTAAGCTTCAGTACCTCAAGATTACTAACTGCTGCTTCGCTAACTTAACGCAGCCAAAACTCAAACCCACTGCTGTTGAGTCCCTTCCAACTCATAGATACCCAATAGGACAGGACAGAACCACTTCACAGAATTTCCAAGGCTGATTCCTTATGGAAAAAGACTTTCATTTTTTGCACATGGAATGGCTCGTGGTGCTGAATTACCAATCTTGTGGTTAGTACTCCAACACTCTCCCAACTGTCCCACCAGGGGACCGTTTACTAGGATAAGGGCATACATACAGATTGAGTACCATATTCATCGGACATACAGTTACATTGATATGTCAAGTGGACATGCACAAAGGTATCTAATCAAGATTCTTCCTATGGTATGAATATAAATATGCTTTCACTTGTGAGCGTTTATGAATAGTTCCAGAGGATTCATCATGATAAGTTTTTAATTGCTGAAAATCTGTCCTTTGCTCCCAACTAATGATTTTCCTCTTTGAAAGGTGGCTTAACTAACACAATCAATTAAATAATTATGTATTTTCAACTAGTTACCTTACCTTTCGAATTTCTCCCTGCTGAACAGTTTTTATGACATTAATCCATTCTTCCATATCTTTTCGGTTGGGTGCAGCCAAGGTGACTTTTCTCTGTGGTGTGATTACCTAAATAAAAAGCCCCATCATTAGCTGGTTCCTGTTCCAAACCTTTGCCCTCAAACAGAATCTGTGAACTGCCCAAGGAACTATGTAGGTCTACCAAGAACAGCCCAAGACATTTCTTGAAGACAAATCACAATTCACCAAGCCTCTCTCAGATCTTCCACTACTCAACAAAATAATGACAACTAACACTTTAATGAAACTTATGTGCCAAGCACTATTCTAAACATTTTATGCTCATTGATTCACTTAATCTTCATTACAACCTCAAAAAATGGGTATTATTCTCCCCATTTCATAATCAAAGGCAGTTCATTGACTGGTTCAGGGTCACTCAATATCTAAAAAGCTAAGCCAGAATTTAAATGTAAATTCTATATTTTCAGCATTCATGCTCTTAAACATTAAGGTATGCATTGTCTATTTCAAATGGTATTATCTAAAAACCTTACTTATTGCCATTTTGTCTACTTAAAGGCTATGTGTCCATTAACAGATGAATGGATAAACAAAATATGTTACATAAATACAATGGAATACTACACAACCAAAAAAATGATGACGAGTCCTTGAAACATAATTGAATGAATCTGGAGAATGGTATGCTGAGTAAGATAAGCCAATCATAAAAAGAAAAATGGTTCCTCTTTACAAATAGACAAATAGACAAAAATAGTTATACACACAGTATTGCTTGGTGATTACCAGGGATGGGAAGCAGGAAGGAAGGGACTCATCCTTTAGCTGACACGTATTCTTTTTTGTTATGGGAAAAGTAACCCTGAAGGTGGGTGAAGTACACACAGTTGACTTTGTCAACTGAGAAGTACACACACACAGAAGGATGCTTTCATTATATGCTAGAATATGTATAATTTCGTAACAACAACAACAAAATATGTGTGGTTATATATGTATTTATTCATGCATGTATATGCATGCACATATATGTGTCTATGTGTATGTATATGCACACATATATTAAAGCACAAAGGCAACAGTTATGGATACTTCTTAGATTATAACCAAACAACTTGTGAGATTGATTTCTGGGCATGAAGACTTAGGACTATCACTTGTGAGACAACTCAATCAGTTGGCATAATATAGTTCATAAAGTTTATGTTTTATATCCTAGTTTAGTGAGCAGTGTCTGGAGTCTTAAAAGCTTCTGAGTGGCCCTCTAAGATACACATATTAGTCTTCTCTCCAGAGCAAAAGAGAAAGAAAGAAACAAAAAAATGACTCAAAGAAGAAACTAGCTCATAGGACTAATAGTTTACTCAAACTTTGCCCTCATATTCCTTTAGAACAGAAGAACTAGATGGTGCCTAGTTACCACGAACAACTCTGTTGATTAGGGTCATAATGGATGGATATTTATAAAAGGGGAATAACATGTGAAACAGAATTCACTTCTTATAGAGTTCAGATTTACGAGACTGGTTGAGACTAGAGGATTCCCTGAAATTATTATCCTGAGATACCCCACAAACTTGTACCAAAGGTAGCCTCTCTGGTCTCCTTTCAGCTAAACAACAGATTGGTTTATAAAACAAAGATTATATTTTTCTTTAAACAATGAGTGCTGTGTACTTTTAAAACTTCATCTATGTGAGACCAAATGGTCAACAAAATGAAAGAGTGAAGGATCAGGGAAAACAGATGACTGGAAATGAAACATCCAGGGTGGACTTAATGAAAAATGTTGGCACATAGTGAAAAATGGAACCAATGATGTAGTATTTGCTCAATGGAAACCCACTTTATGTGTAAATTATCACTGATAACTCAATAAAATAAAATAACACACAGTTTTAAAGTAACACAAAAGTATATGTATATTTAGGGGAGGGGAGGAATAGTATTAGAGAAAGGAATCAAAAAATTCAGTTTCATTCTTCCTTACTGATAAGGGAAATGTGAAGAGAATTTTACAATTGTCTCAAGTACCCTAGCTTGGTACAAGAGCCCAGGTAAGTGTAATGCTAAGGGTTTAGCAGAGGTAACAATGGCATGGCCTGGATTTAGTGTTTTCCCAGAGAAAAGGAAAAAGAACAAATAGTGACAGCATGACTCGTTGATTCAATGAATTTTTACCAGCAGTCCTCAAATTTTTGGAGCTAAGGCTAAGCATACCAATAATTTTTATCATAATCCCATAATAGACAGGCAAAGGACCTAGCTTGGCTTATGATAACAGCCACTCTGTTGTTTCAAACCCATTATTGGGTGGGACTGGTAAGGCTAAAGGCAGTCTAGAGTCACTGGGTGGTGCAAATGGTTAGTGTGCTTGGCTTCTAACCAAAGTATTGGATGTTTTAATACACCCACAGGCACCTTCGAAGAAAGGTGAAGAGACCCTATCAAGCACAATCGCACTGTAACACATATGGGGTCATCATGAGTTGAAATTGGCTCGATGGTAACTGGTGCTGGTAGTAATGGGCAGCCTCATCCTTGCAATATTTTTTTGAGGCTAGAGATAAAAAACAGTAGCCTGTAGGGTCATTTTAAATAAGATCTTTAAAAATGTTGTTGAGAACATACACAGAAAACATGTACTAATTCAACCATTTCTATATGTATGATTCAGTAATTTTGATTCCATACTTTAAATTGTAAAACTGATTTTGCCCTCTTTTTCTGCTTGTTTCTACCCTAGTAATATGAATTCACCGGCCCCTAAGTTTCCTATATATTCTTTTGAATTGTTCTTCTCACTTTGATCCATATTAAAAGAGTATAATACTCAAGGCAAACTGTTTTTAGCTAGTTAAGTTAAACTACCATTTGGTTTTAAGACCTATTCAGGGGATATTTTTGGTTTATGGTTTAAAGGTTACCTAAGGGCAATAGTTTCAGGTGTTTATCCGATATCCATGGTTGGATGTCCATAAGCCTGTAATCAATAAGAATTTGAAATTCTGTTCTACACACTCTCTTCTTTTGATCAGGATTCTTCTACAGAATCTTTGATCGAAATCCTCAGTAATGACACTCAGGAGTCATGCAGTTCATCTGCTCACATGGCAAAGAAGAGAGTTATTCATGGAGGTATTTAGCTCGATATTTCATCAGTGCTATCGAGTCAATGCTGACTCACAGCAAACCTATAAGGCAGGGTACAACTGCCTCCGTGGGCTTCTGAGACTAACTCTTCACAGGAATAGAGAGCTTCATCTTTTTCTTGAGGAGCAAGCTGGTCGTTTCAAATTGTTGACTTTGTAATTAGCAGCCCGACTCATAACCACTATACCACCAGGGCTCTATGTCCTATTACTGAATTTTCATCTTCTTTCTTGCTCCACATAAATAGAGACCAATTGTATCTTGGATGATTGCTTATAGACTTTTAAAATCCCAAACCACTACACAATGAACTAGGAGACAGAACAGAAACACTAATCGCATTATTAAGCCAATTAACTTTCATAGTATATTCCATGGAACCATGATGTAGGCTCACCTAAGATTAAGCTTTGGGGAACTGAATTAACAGGAGTCTCAGCTTCATATTGGGTCAGTATGATATAATGAGAGAAAAATTTTTACTAGTTAAGCTAGTGTCTCCTGCGCTTTTTTTCAAAAGCGAATGGAATGTGGATCCACAGCAAAAGCAGGATATTGGGTCTACAGCACTTTAGTCTGCTAAGTATTTCTTCCTACCAGCTTGAAGAAGAACCTCCATCTTCATAACCAAAAAGATGACTAAGAGAACATCTGGGCCAATGAATTTACTATTTTTCTGTGAGTTTTCTAGTCTGGATTCATTTGGATAAACATAGCAGCAGAACCAATCCCTGGAATGTCAGTACCCGTGCCTGTTGAGTTCGTTCTAACTCATGGTGACTCCCTGTGTGTCAGAGTAGAACTGTGCTCCATAAGGTTTCCATTTACTGATATTTTGAAAATAGATTGTCAGGTATTTATTCACAGGTAACTTTAAGTGAACTCAAATGTCAATCTTTTGGCTCGCTGTCAAGAGCACTAGCTTTTGTAGCACCCAGGAACACAAGCCTGTCAATATTCCTAAAGAAAAATCTATGCACTCTCTGAGGTAATTTCTTCAGATGTTATCCCAGTGTAGGATATTTTTCACTTTTAACTTGTTTCTTTTGTCAACCCCCCAAAAATAGATGTAAATTATCTTGATTTTTGTAAACAACATATTAACTTCCTCTTTAAAACTTCACAGTGATATCCTTCTAAATATAAATTATCTAGCAGGACTCATTTTTATAATGTTTGCACTTAATTGTAAAGCTTGGGCAACTTGAAGTCTAAAGAAGTAACAGGAGGGTGTGGCATTCCCCCTTTCCAGCTAGCCCCCTACTCCTGCCATTAACTTGTACTCGATATTACTTACACAAAAACTGTGGCAGAGATTCCTACAGTTGCCTTCCGCCAAAGCAACACGAGACAGATCAATTGTTTCAAAGTGTGCAAACTGGAAAAATAGAATCATTCTGGTTATTAAAGCAAGGAGATATTAGAAAGTTAAAAAAGCATACACATACACACACTACTTGGAATTATTGACAATCATGATCCAATCATTTCTTTGGCTAGAGTGCTAGGATATACTTAGTATCTTGATTTTTGTTGATGGATCCTGTGAAAAATTAAAAACAAACTAAACTGTTATAAAAACACAACTCTTTCCAAAATATTTATATGAGTTTAAAGGAAGGATTTGGTTGCTCATGTCAAAATTATATAAATATATATGTGTATATTGGAGAAGATCATAGGATGTGCTCCAGCTAGGGATCTGATGGGGGAGATTACTGTCAAATTCTATTAACTAATTCCATTCAGTTTGAAACTTTTCTTCTCTTATATATTAGCAATAGTAGATACCACCAAGCAGCATCAGGAAATCAGCACTAGGGTTACATACATGGGTGTTTTCATTCGTGTACAACCCGACCTGTGTATTTCACATGGTACCTCATGCTCAGAGGAGTCTTTCATTTGTATTAATGCTTTCATGTTGGCATCTTGAAATGCATGGTAATTTTGTCTTTGAATTTGCCTTTAATAAGTAAAATGCAATAAGAAAATGAACAGAAGAGATTCATACAATATTCATCTCCATCAATGTTTTTCCACTTTATTTGCATATGGCATTTTTGATGCCCATGAATACAGAATCTCATTGGACCCATGATATGTGGATATTCTGCGAGACTCAAATCAAGTACAAAGTATCATGATACATTTATCACTGAGTATACAAAGTTGCTAAAAGTCCTGAGATGCTACTCTTTCCATTGAAACCAGAATTTTCTTCAAATGGAAAAACAAGGCAATGATGTTATAAGAAATGCTAATAGCCAATGAATCTTATAATACTCTTTTTTTTACTCATATTATCTCCCTGTACTAACCACATAATTATGCTGAGAGTGACGATATTGAAAGGAAAGGAAATACAACCCATAATTATTTTTCCCAATAAAAGAGTGTTGATAGAATATACAAATATCAAAAAGTGCAATGAAACCAGCTGAATTAGTTTTGTGTATTGATAAGGAAAAACCTACAAGTGCATATATGAATTATTAAATATAAGTTATGTAATTTTGGTGATTTTTCATTAGTTAAATGCTCTTATTATTGCTTTGTAAACTGGCATTGCAGATTATACAGATTAATATAAAACTCATGCAAGTTATTTAAAGTTTTAATTTTTCTTTACTGAAAATGATATCAAATAGCAAACAAAACAAAATTTTAATAAACATCATGACAAATAAAATAAGAAATCAAGGAAGAAGGGATAAAACTTTGTATTTCAGTATCCTTAATGGCATATTTTCCTTGCTTTCTCAATAAAATATTTTGAATTTTCTTTCTTTCTTTGAATTTTCATTTTTTATTTCAAATGATTTGGTTGTACTTTGGTACACAAGCTAACTTGTATATCTATGAAAAGGAAAGAGTAAAGGAGAAAAAATGCTCAACATTTTAGCACAAAGGGGGCAAGTTAAAGGGAAAGTAGAAAGTGTCAATTTCTGTGCTACTGTTTGCCATCATATCATTACCTACAGTTCCATCTCTACAAATAAACATTCCTGGCACACCTACAGTAACCTAACTGCACAAGGTTTTATACATTACCGCAGGATGGTGAGCAAAGCAGAGATTTTGTCCTTGAACAAGAATATATCTAAGCTTCCATCTCTTGAAGGAGTTACAGTTCTTCAGCAAGGGTCCTTCTTTCAGTATTTTCTAAAAACAAAACAAAACAAAACAAAATCCTGAGACTTAATTAGATCAACTTGCAAGACTATAGCACCTTTTCTTTCAGATGGGCAGGTCAAATTTCCAAGATTCTATCTCTATCACATATCTGAGAAGTGGCCTGACAGGCCAGGCAAGAACACAAGGAAGTTAGTTCAATTGGAAAAAGCATTGGTTACCTTTGAATGATACATTTATATTGACAGAACATACCAGTGATCTAGTACATCTTTCACCAAACCTGCTACTTTTACTTGGAAATGTCTTCATTCAATAACTCAATCTTAAAGGGTTGAAACACACCACAATTTATTAAGAGTTCCCTATGTGGAACAAATGGTTAATGGGCTTAGTTGTTAACTGAAAGATTAGCAATCTTGAGTCCACTCAGGGATACCTTGGAAGAAATACGTGGTGATCTACTTTTGAAAAATTAACCACAAGAAAGCTCTGAAGAGCACAGTTCTACTCTTCCACACATGGAGTCAATATGAGTTGGAATAGATTTGAAAACAATTGATTGGTTTTAAGAATACATGGTCTAAGCTCCATAGGGATCTTCTCCACTGGTTGGGGAGGAAGGCACAAACAAATTGCCAGCCCTTTTATAGTGTTCCTTTTAGAATATTTAGTTGAATTATGTCCTTTACCTGTTCATGAGCCTCCAATCACATCCCATCACTTTTAGAAGGAAATTAAAGCCCTAACCATGCTCTCCAAGGGGCTTTATACTCTGCATAGGGTGATTACCTACTGATACTAGCTGCATCAGGGTTGTTGGGTAAGGAACAGACACATAAAAGGACATCAAAAAATTATTTTCTGTAATCTACTGGCATCAGGCCTCTTCTACATTCAAAAGGAAGGGTGAAAATCAAAATCTAAGTTGATTCCTATGAGGTGGACTCCAGACATTCCTTTGCTCTCCAACTTTTTAACCCTTTTGGACACTAGATACATTCCTGCCAACCCCCTCACCCCCAGCATGGCATGCTCTAATCTGCTAGGTTTGATAATTCATTGAAATGGCCACACAGAAGTCACGGACCATACTTGTGATTATATGGTTTTATTAGGGATATAACCCCTACTCATCTATCAGTTTATCATACACTGGAGGATTGTATGCTGCTTTCAGGTTAGAAGTGATGCTACCAGTATTTCAAATACCAATAGGGTCATCCTTGGTAAACAGTTTTCAGCACAGCTTCCAGGTTAAGAACAGACTAGAAAACAAAATTAGTGGTTCACTTCTGAAAAATTAACTATTTAAAACCTTATGAATGGTAGTAGAACATTGTTTGATACAGTACCAGAAGATGACCCCTCAGTTGGAAAGCACTCACAATACAATTGGGGAAGAGATCAAAGTAGAGCCAATCTTAATGACAGGGATGGAGTAAAGCTTTGGGGATCTTCATTTTCTCATGAGGTATGACTCAAAATAAGAAGAAAGAGCTACAAATATCCATTAATAATTGGAACACAGAATGTATGAAGTGTGAATCTAGGAAAATCGGACATTTTCAGAAATAAAATGGAAAAAATAATGACCAATATCATAGGCAAACTGAAATGAATTGATATTGACCATGTTGAATTAGACATTCATATTGTTTACAATGTCAGGAATGGCAAATCAAGAAGAATGGTATCTTATTCATCATCATATTTATAGATGAGGATGGGGAAATAGACACGTGCATATATTTATAGGTTTAGTATTAAGGTAGCAGATGGACATTAGGCCTCCACTCAAGTACTCACTCAATGCAAGAATACTTTGTTCTATTAAACTGGCATTCCATGATGCTCACCTTCCCGACAGAATCGCGGAAGACAAATGGGTGCATAAACAAATGTGGTGAAGAAAGCTGATGGAGCCCGGCTATCAAAAGATATAGCATCTGGGGTCTTAAAGGCTTGAAGGTAAACAAGCTGCCACCTAGCTCCGAAGCAACAAAGCCCACATGGAAGAAGCACACCAGCCTCTGTGATCATGAGTTGTTGAAGGGATAAGGTATCAGGCATCAAAGAACAAAAAAACCATATCATTGAGAATGAGGGGGAGTGAGAAGTGGGGACCCAAAGCCCATCTGTAGGCAACTGGACATCCCCTTATGGAAGGGTCACAGGGAGGAGATGAGCCAGTCAGGGTGCAGTGTAGCAATGATGAAACATACAACTTTCCTCTAATTCCTAAATGCTTTCTCCCCACCCACTATCATGATCCCAATTCTACCTTACAAATCTGGCTAGACCAGAGGAAGTACACTGGTCTAGGAACCTAGGAATCCTAACTTCCAGATAGGAACTGGAAACACAGGGAATCCAGGACAATGATCCCTTCAGGACTAGTGGTGAGAGTGGCGATACCAGGAGGGTAGAGGGAGGGTGGAATAGAAAGGGGGAACCGATTACAGGGATCTACATATAATGTCCTCTCTGGGGGATGGGCAACAGAAAAGTGGGTGAAGGGCGATGTCGGACAGTGTAAGATATAACGAAATAATAATTTATAAATTATCAAGGGTTCATGAGGGAGGGGGGAAGGAGGAGGGAGGGGGAAAAGTGAGGAGCTGATGCCAGGAGCTTACTTGGAGAGCAAGTGTATTGAAAATGATGAGGGTAGAGAATGTGCAAATGTGCTTTATACAATTGGTGTATGTGTGGATTGTGATGATTTGTATGAGCCCCCAATAAAATTATTTTTTAAAAAGTATATTTTAAGACCTATCATGAATAATTATGCTTTATGTGGTTGGATAAATCTATACTCCTACAAGGATGACTAATTAATATAAATATTATTCAAATTTATTTACCAACAACTAAAGCTAATAATGAAGAAATTGAAATATCCACCAACGTTTTCCATCTGAAATTGTTCAAACATTTAATCAAGATGCATTGTTAATCACTAGTAAGGGAAAAGAATAGTAGTTGAAAAATATAGCTTTGCCATCTAGCTGAGAAGCAACAAAACCCACATGGAAGAAGCACACCAGCCTGTGTGATCATAAGGTGTCAATAGGATTAGGTATCAGGCATCAATGAACAAAAAATCATATCATTGTCAATGAGGGGGAGTATGGAGTGGAGACCCAAAGCCCATCTCTAGACAACTGGACATCCCCGTACAGAAAGGTCAAGGGGAGGGAATGAGCCAGTCAGGGTGCAGTATAGCACCAATGAAACATACAACTTTCCTCTAGTTCCTTAATGTTTCCTCTGCCCCACTGTCATGATCCCAATTCTACCTTACAAGTCCAGTTAGAACAGAGGATGTACACTGGTTCAGATAAGAGCTGGAAACACAGAGAATCCAAGACAGATAAACCCCTCAGGACCAGTAAAGAGAGTAGTGATACTAGGAGGGGAAGGGGAAGGTGGGGGAGAATCGGGGAACTCATCACAGTGATATACGTATAACCCTCTCTCTGGGGGACAGACAACAGAAAAGTATGTAAAGGGAGACATTAGTCAGTGTAAGACATGAAAAAATAGTAATAATTTATAAATTATTAAGGGTTCGTGAGGGATGGATGGTTGAGGAGGGAGGGCAAACAAATGAGGAGCTAATACCAAGGGCTCAAGTAGAAAGAACTTCTTTTGAGAATGATGATGGCAACAAATGTACAACTGTGCTTGACTCAATGGCTGTATGTATGGATTGTGATAAGAGTTGTACGCGTCCCCAATAAAATGATTTAACGAAAAGGAAGAAACAAACAAAAATATGGCCTTGGTGATTGAAACAAAGCTGGAAGTCATGGTAGAATTTTGTACGACTTCTTCACTGCAAACATCCTTTTACCTCTCATGCACTTTGACATGTTAACAGGAGAGAATTAGTACCTGGGAAAAAAAAGACATCATGTTTGATAAAGTGAAAGCAAAAAAGAGTAACACTACTGATGAGATGGATTGAAATTGTGGCTGGGCTGCAACCATGGACTCAAACATAACAATTGTGCGAATGGCAAAAGACTGGACAGTGATTCATGGTGCTGTACAAAGGATCCTTATGCGTCAGAACAACTCAATGGCAACTAACAACAACACCCACGTGTAACTCACCAGATAGACTAAACAGGAATCATAGCAACAGACAATGGAGAAACTCAGTATTACCAGCCAAAACAAGGACAGGGACTGACTGTGGAACAGACCATCAAGTGCTCATATATAAGTTTAAGTTGAGGCTAAAGGAAATTAATACAAATCTACAACAACCAAAATATAATATTAAGTAAATCCCACTTAAATTTAGAGACCATCTCATGAACAGATTTGACACATTGAACACTAATGGTAGAAGACAAGATGAGTTATGGGAGAATGTCATACATGAAGAAAGCGCAAGGTAATTTAAATGACAGAAAATAAACAAAAGACTAAAATGGATGTCAGAAAAGACTGAAACTTGCTCTAAGTGTAGAGTAGCTAAAGTGAATGGATGAAAAGATGAAGCAAAAGAGAGGCAGAGAGAAATTTTCAAAAGGTGGCTGAAGTCAAAGAAAAGGATTATCATGAAATGGATAAAGACTTGATGTGAGAAAACCAAATGGAAAGAATAAGCTCAGCATATCTCAAGCTGAAAGAAGTGATGAAAAAATTCAATCCTCAAGTTGAAATATTGAAGGATTCTATGGACAAAATGAAGAACCACTAGTGGTGTAGTGGTTACATGTTGAGCTGCCAACCACATGGTCAGCAGTTTAAAACCACTAGCTGATCCACAGGAAAGAGACAAGTTTTCTACTCCTGTAAAGAGTTGCAGTCCGAGAAACCCACAAGGACAGTTCTACTCTGTTCTATAGGGTCACTATGAGTCAGAATCAATTTGGTGACTGTGAAGGGTTTTTGATTTTTGGGGTTTTTTTAATGGGAAAAGTATTGAAGGACGCATTGAAAAAAGATGGAAACAATACGTAGTCAGTGTACCCAAAAGAATTGGTTGACATTCAATCATTTCAAGAGATAGT